GGAGGCATCTGTTCCCCTTGCCTTCCACACACCCTATTAATGATATCTCTGGATAAGTCCTCTTAATTTTTTCCCCCCTTTCCCATTTTTTTTTAATCAAAACCTTCCCTGCCTCTCGCAAACATAATTCTATTTTAATGCCTACTGTTAAGATAATGAACTGTGATGGCCGCTCACCATCAAATGAGAACACGTCTGGAGTTTTATCACTGCCCGGCTCAGTCTGCTAGGGACTTCAGAGGAAAGCATTCCTGGTAGATTTTTGTGGTACGTCTCTCTCCCCCCCCCTTCTTTATGTGAAGACTGAGGTCAAGGTGAGGTCACTGCAATCCAGTAATGGAACTTATCGGTTTTTTTGTTTTTTGCTGTTGGGTCTGAACACATTACAGTAAACATCTTGTTAAGCTGTAATTACGGTATTAGCGATAAGGGGAACGAAATCTGACTCGGATGAGAAGTAGATAGTTCGAACATTCGTCATCCAAGCTTAGCTATTGTGAACATGTCGTACCGGAGATGATAGCGGATTGAGACGCAAAGCGGAGACGGTTCATAAGGTGGTGTAAGTGGGCCAAATCTTAAAACAAAGGGAAAGAACCAGAAGCAAGAGGAGTGATGCCGAAATGCCATGCTCCATTTTGTTTGGTAAGAACACCATCAAACATTGTTGTCTTTCAAACCTTTCAGCAAAAATGTTCGGTGTGTGGCAGAGAGTTCTTGGGGTATGTTGTTTTCTGTCCCAACCGGCTCCCCTTCCCAATGCAGTGAGAGAAAACATCCAGACATTCAAAATGGGCATGACCCCCCAACACATTTATTTATTTATTTATACTTTCAATTTGTACCCCGCTCACCCCCGAAGGGCTCTGAGCGGCTTACGCGGTGCATGGTGCAGAGACCTATGCAGAAACCCTAACTATGGCCACAGTACGTCTGGGGTGGGGGGAGCCCTACCGGGTACCCTCCCGGCTACGATCGTTCGTTTATCCGGCGAGTGGGCGACTTCTTCCAGTTCTCTCCGGTGCGGCTTCCGCGGCCTCCGCTGTTCTTTTGGTGTTATTTTGTTGTTTGGTGTAGTGGTTAAGTGTGCGGACTCTAATCTGGGAGAACCGGGTTTGATTCCCCACTCCTCCACTTGCACCTGGCTGGATGACCTTGGGCAAGCCGTAGTTCTGTCAGAGCTGTCCTTGAAAAAGAGCAGTTTCTGTCAGAGTTCTCACAGCCCCACCCACCTCACAGGGTATCTGTTGTGGGGAGGGGGAGGGAAAGGAGTTTGTAAGCCACTCTGAGACTCTAAGTGAAGGGCAGGGTATAATCCAATCTCTTCTCCTCTCCTCTTCTTCTTCTTGTTGACTATTCCAAGTCAAATCAAAATAACAACGGTTCGGGCTGTGTCTCTCGACTAGGTTTAGCTCAACAGCAATAATACCCCTACCTCCCTTCATACAACCTTGCTACTGTCACCTAAGTAAAGGTAAAGGTTTCCCTTGCTCGAAAGCCAGTCGAATCCGACTCTAGGGGTGTGGTGCTCATCTCCGTTTTCAAGCCGAAGAGCCAGTACTGTCTGAAGATGTTTCTGTGGTCATGTGGCCAGCATGACCAGATGCCGAGGCGCATGGAATGCTGTTACCTTCCCACCAAAGCGGTACCTATTTATCTACTTGCAGTTTCTCGCTTTTGAACTGCTAGGATGGCAGGAGCTGGGGCCAGAGACGGGATGCGGCACTCAGGTCTCGAATTGCTGAACTACCGACCTTCCGGTCGGCAGCAGCATCTTAACCACTGAGCCACCGCAGAAGCCCACTGTAACCTAGCAGTGGGGTTTAAAAGAGGCAGGCCTACCTTTCAGGTCTCTTTCTTCACACAGGGTTGGGCTTGGTATGCTGAAACACTCATATGCAATCCCTTCCACAAATCCATCAAGAATTTTATTCTGACAACTGGTTTTCAGTCAGTCAGTTCCTTGCATACAAGTAATTTTGCCCTAACTGGACTGCCCAGGTTAGTACTTTGGTGGGAGGCCACCGAAGAAGTACAGGGTTGCTATGCCAAGGCAGTCAATGGCAATCTCATCAGATCTCAGAAGGTAAGCAGGGTCAGGCACGATTTGGATGGGAGACCACCCAGGAAGTCCAGGGTTGTTCCATAGAGGCAGGCAATGGCAAACCACCTCCGAATGTCTCTTGCCTTTAAAACCCTACGAGGTCCCCATAAGTCGGCTGCGACTTGACGGCACTTTTCACCACCACCATATGAGTAATTTCCTGGCAATCTGGTATACATTTCTAACTAAAGTTATTTAGCATTAATGGAACTTGTTATACTCTAATGTCCAGTTTGTTTCCAACAAGTAAAAAGGTAAAGGTCTCCCTTGCTCGAAAGCCAGTCGAATCCGACTCTAGGGTTGCGGTGCTCATCTCCGTTTCAAAGCCGAAGAGCCAGCGCTGTCCGAAGACGTTTCCGTGGTCATGTGGCCGGCATGACTAAACACCAAGGCGCACGGAACGCTGTTCCCTTCCCACGGAAGTGGTACCTATTTATGTACTTGCAATTTCTTGCTTTCGAACTGCTCGGTTGGCAGGAGCTGGGGCCAGAGACAGGAGCTCACTCCGTCACGCGGCACACTTGGGTCTTGAACTGCCGAACTACCGACCTTCCCCAGCCTGCAGTTCAGCGTCTTAACCCCTTGAGCCACCGCAGCTCCAACAGGTGCCCATTCGAAAATACGTGTTGTTACTCTTGGTACCACTACCCCGATTATTGTTACAGATGACCAACGCCTGGGTGGAAGGAAGGAAAACGAATGTTTCCATATTCTTCCAGCAGAATAAATGCTCAACATCGGGGTAGGTAAACTCTTTGGCCGATGTGCTGAAAAGTCTGCACCGCCTATCATGATTCTCTCCCGTCCTTCCTCAGAGGACCTCAGGGTGACTCCACTTTACCCTCACAGCCTTGAGAGAGTTTAGACCGAGACCCTGTGAACTGGTCCAAAGTAACCTATTGAGTTCCATGGCTGGGTTTTTCAGCGCGAGCGCAATGCTACACCATGCTGGCGCTATCTTTGGAAAGAGAGATTTGCACTGCGCTCGGACAGACGCACTGAGATCAAGCTGGGCTCTGGGGGCACCTCCATGGCTTTGGCGGTTCACTTCCGACAGGGTTAGAGGCTCTGAGGTTCCAGGAGATGGAACCCCACGCGCAGGGGTCATTTCGTAGAAAAAGAGCTAGGGGAACTCATTAGCATAACTCATTAGCATATGCCACACCCCCTGACATCAGGGGCCCGGCGGTGGACCTGCAAGGCCGGCGGGAGTGCGAGGAAGCCCCGCCAAGGCCCTCCCTGGCCCCAGGCAGGCAGGGGTGGGGAGAGGCGGGGAGGAAGCAACTTACCCTTCCTCTTCTCCTGCCTCCTCCTGGCTGAATGACGGCCGGAAGCGGGGCAGCCGGAAGCAGGGGGCGGGGCTTCGTCATGTGCCCTGCCCCCACACCTCACCCGGGGGAACTGCGATCCCCCCCGAATCAACCTCTGCCCACGCGGCCATCGCCAGCAGCATGGCCAGCATTTCGCGGGCTGCTCCCTTGGGTTGCCTGTGTGGAGAATCGGTACCATGGGCCAGCAAAATGGTCTGGGGCATAAGGAGATGTGGACCTGGATGGCACAACCTAGCCCTATCTTGCCAGGTGTTGGAATCTAAGCACGGTTGGCCCTGGTTAGTATTTGGATGAGAGACACCCCCCCCCCAAGGAAGTTGAGAGTTGCTATGCAGAGGCAGGCCATGAAAAATCACCTCTGAATGTCTCTCGCCTTGAAAACCCTATGGGTCCATCATCAATCAGCTGTGATGGGGGTCACCGTACGTCGGCTGTGGCACACACAAAGTGGGCTTCTGGTGACCCTGTAGGGTTTTCAAGGCAAGAGATGAGCAGAGGTGGTTGGCCATGGCCTGCCTCTGCGTAGCGACCCCGGAGTTCTTTGGGTCTCCCGCCAAAATACTAACCAGGGTTGACCCTGCTTAGCGTCAAGGATCTGATAAGATCCAGATAGCCTCAGCTCTCCAAATCAGGGCAGAGGGGGTTGGCCATTGCCTGCCTCTGCATAGCAACCCCGGATTCCCTTGGTGGTCTCCCATCTAAATACTAACCAGGGCCGATCTTGCCTTAGCTTCTGAGATCTGACAAGACCATCATTTTGGTAACCCGGAAGGAAACATAATGAGAATAACGATTTCTTTTCTGGTTACTGTTGGGTATTAGAAGTTGAAAACACCCAGTATATCTGGGGTTAAATGTTTGTTTATGTTACTCACAGGAAGTCACATGTTTCTCATGTAACCAATGTTCTTTAGCTGTAGGAAGCCCGGGAATTTTCTCCCTGATCTAGGAATTTGATTGGGACTAAAGTGTCAAGGTGTATTACCATTTTATGGCTTCTCTTCCCATCTTTGTTTGGTGTTCTGAAGAAGAAGAAGAGTAGCCATAATCTCTCTCTTCTAGTTTTGTCTTTGTAGAGTAAGGATGTAGCCGATTTAGCTCTGTTGTTATTTTCATCCCAGTTACCCTTCCCATGCTAGAATTTAGTAAAAACTTTATATTTTAATCACACCTGGATTCTGAGTCTGAATTATTTTAC